TGCAACGTCGCGGTGCACCTGGAAAGGGAATCTGGAACCGGCCGGAAGCGGTCGCTGATGTTTTTGGTGTTCAGAAGAGATTTACTCGAGCCTCGTTCGATTTTAGCCCCAATATAACACTTGAGCATCTTCCTACCGTTATTGCCGATAATCTAACCTTAACGGTAATACGACACTTAAACGATATTTAACCCTGAAATACAAACGTTATTCAATATTTCTCTTTGATATAAACGTTCGTATAATTTATGATTTTTTTCTAGATTTTTATTTTCTTCATATAATATTGGTCGTTTTATCTTTAACCGGTAATTTAACTTGTTATAACGAATAACGTGAATTCTGTCAAATGTAAGTTTATGTACAAGGTAGTAGGTTAAAGTAATGGAAGAATAATTATTTAGAATATATCGTATTCGAATCTTTAATTATATTTCATTTCTTCACTCTTTGGAAAATGTACAACTAGAGAGAATATAAATTAACACGTATTATTAAAAACGTATAAATAAGAATACAATCGTAAAATGATAGGTTATTTGGTTATTTTTATTTAGTTACTTTTTTTTCCGAGGCGCCACTAGGCGTCACGTTGTCAATTAGTGAATGCGTTACCAAAAGAATAAAGAATCTATTCACCACGAAAGAAATCTTTATAGAGGATACGTGGAAAAGCAACGAAGCGTGTCGCGGTTGGTATACGAGCTCGATTCACAACGATACCTAAAGGAAGAAGCGGATCAAGCTCAGAAAAAGAATAGTAGAGGGGAGAAGGAAGAAGATCCTTAACGCCGTCTCACGTGGCTGTAAACTCTGCACGCCAATACACCGAACCGGAGGGCAAGTGAAAGTCTCTCAAAAGACGACGCGAGGAATATGCGCATGTATAGCATACTATACATATATGTGTATACTTACTGTGTAGCTGTAGAACTGCAAATGTATATTTCTTAGCTGCATGCAATTCTATACATCTCGTGTAAATCGTAGATAGATCTACAAGAAATTGTTAAATTTAGCTCTTAAATAGTTTCTTTTGCACAGATTTGTTTTAGGAAGACGTTAATATTATAAATAAATCAATTCTTTTCTGATGTAATCTGATGTAATCATTTGAAATACATAACATTTAAATAAAATATATTTTAATATCAATTAAAATAAATTATTAATTACCTTTATATTAGTTGTTTAAATATATTATTGAATGTTTGTAAAAAAAATAATTATGAGAATGGGAAATTTATTTTTAATGAAGAAGATTCGAGGAATGAAAATAATTTCTCAGTTCATCGCGTTCGATCATCGTCGACACGACGGATGGAGGCGCCAAATTTCCTGAGGTGAAATTCGACGTCGAACTGACGAAGGAATTTCGGAATCGTTGAAGCGCAACGGAATCGCGACGGGCCACGTTCAATCCTATCTCTGATCGATTGCGACAGATTTCGTCGGACCGCCGATTCCCTTCCGACCATTCAACGCTTTCGCCTCGTTGGCTTTCCTAGATTCAGTCAGATATTCCATCGTGTATAGAATGGTGAAAACTTCTTTAAACTTGTTCCGCACACTATTTCGTAGCTCGAGCTTGTCTATCGCGTTCCAAATCGAGAATCGATCGGTAGTCGGCAACAAATCTCAAACGATATTTTCTGTCAACGTCGCATCGTTGCAAACGGATCGTATAGGTTAGAATGATGACAGGCAACTGAATTGATATCCTATTCTTTTTATAACCTCGATTCTAAACAAGAAATCGATTGATCATCACGATATATACACTTTCATACGAGATCCCACGAAACATCTGTCGAATAGCCTGTCAACAATTGAAACGATGATATTGTAAAAACTTCGCGAGTTTCACTCGCGTACGTTCCTAGTTTATGCGTATGCGCATACGCAAATATTCTCGATTCTTAATAACATCGATTGCGCGAGTGCACAGTTGGAAAACATATCGATAAAAAGAAATACCGGCGGAACGGCGAAAAAATGTATAGACAAAAATGTTAATTAACTAGAGGGGAAAGGTGAAAAAGAATAAGATGGGCTGTCAGAATGGTGAGTGGGGAGAGGAGGCAGGCATAGACACGAAGAATGCCACGGCAGTCGTAATGGGTTTGCAACGGCGAAGCTGCAGGTAATAACCGGCGCGTATATAACGACACGATGAGTCGTGGGTAGCCTGGCCACGATGTTACTTCGACGACTTTCACGAGGTTCCCGAGCTTCTGCTTATATAGCGTACCGTGTATAATATCTTCTGAGACTGTGCTCCGTGGAATTGCGTCTCTGTTCTCGTCGACATCTCGTATAGAATTAATGGCGAGGGCGTTCGAGTATTCGATAGATTCGAAATTCGATTAAAACACCTTTAAATGAATTGAGCGGTTGATCGAATTCATCGAATCGAAAGTTAGAAATCCGATTATCGCACTAGATTATCGAATATTCTATTAATTTGTAAAATATGTCTGATATTGTTGGCTTCTTAATATCTGTCGTAATATCTGTCTTAATTAACATTGTACAGTGGCATTTAAACAGTGGGAATTATTATTTTAGGATATTAATTTTAAATTTTGCATTTAAATAACTTTGACGTATCGTTATCTTCCCCTTATTACCTCTTTGAGATCAATATTTAATGAAAGATAATAATAGCGAGAAGGTAAAATCTAATAACGTAATCATAAATATTGATTATCCTTTTATGAATATATACGTATTTGTATTCTATTCCTATGTATTAATATCATAATCATTATCAATCAATAACGAAACGGCAATTAATGTTTATTGATAACATTGATCAAATTGAATTATTTATGTACAGTGTGAATCAATATTTTATTATTTCTGTAGAGAGATAAAACAAAGAGAACGATTTATATAATTTTAACGCTCGTTGGTCATTCGAAAATTTCACTATATAACGATTTACAAACCGACTTTCATCCATTGAAACTATTTGGAATTATCTAGCGGTCAAAAGTCATAACGTTCACGCATAAAATCAGCTTTCATTTTGCAGAGATTCTGGAGATTAAAACTATTAAAGCTGTATAAAATATCCACGACACTAGCATACATACTGGATTTCACCAAGAGATATATATATATAAATCAGCTATATAATGTAAAGACAAGGAATCGGAAGAAAGAAAATATTAAGGTAAAAATAAATAAATAAATAATAAGAGGAAGAAAAAAAATAAAATTCTCGCTCATCTTCTAGAATTCGAATCATGCGATCCACGTGCTTATTATCACTTTCCCATAGAAACGACCACAAGGTTGACGCTTACTGTCGAATCCATTTATTCCAGGAGCAAAACGATCACCGTGATTCCTTGAATTCTAATGCAAACCGTATATATATATATATATACATTGTATACATTGCTTGATCGGGGTTACATAAAATCGTTGTCCCCTTATCAGAGCAATCTGATGTCATTCCGAGAAGATGCCACTTCCTCCATCGAGCCGGACCTTTCTTTCTCGATTTCGTCTCCTTCTCGCTCTCCCTTTCTCCCGGTCGTTTCTTCGCCATCTTCCCACAAGCGGGGCCACGTTCGCGGCTACTTTGTCGCGATGCATCCGTGTCTTGCCTTCTTAAGCGGGGCCCTCCGCGGAAATAGCGAGCTCGCGATCGTCCTTTAAGGATTCAGCGTGCATTGCGTAACTCTTGGAACGTGGTTCAGTTCTTCTTGTTAGTCTCACGTGCATATACATATAACGTTCCCCTCCAGGGGAATTACATTATTATCTCGTGATTTATTTCGTTGTTTATATTCTTGGCGTTCTTTTTTCTTTCTTTTTTTTTTTTTATGCATTTTGCTAATTTTTTTTTTTTTTTCCTTTTCCCCTCGTATGAATTAAGACGGGATAGAACAGTTGGCGGGGGGGGAGAAAAAGGTGAAATGCAAGACAAACAACAACGGATTCGGTTCATTTTAATGTATCATTATTAATCGTTCGCTGTCACTCGCGTGACACAATTATATTGACAATTCGTTTTCTATGTACACGTTGGCGATATCATAATAAAATAATTAATAATTAATCAATAATAATAATAAAAATAGTAATAATAATCGCAAAATCGTGATCGTGATTAATTGTACAATTTTCTGCTACAAATATACACAGACTCGCAACGTGTATATATGCCTCTTTTTTATATTATAGATAACGTTACTTCTTTTTGTTTTTTTTTTTTTTCCCCCTTTTTACAGATGAATTTATGGACAAGTTAGGAATCTTTACACGGTATATACGTATATACCTGATAATACATTCTCTTCTCGCAAACACATATATATATATATGTATATATAAATACATCTCGTTGTGAACGAAGAAAGAAAAACAAAAAAAGGAAAAAAAAGGTCTATTTTTATTCGAAATAAAATTTGAACAAATGGAAAGGGGAAGAAAATAACAAATTACAATATCGATACGAAAAGGAACGAATTTACGGCGAGGAAAGGATAATATAATGAGAGGACACTTTGGACGATGGGATTGGAAAGGAAAAGTGGCAAACGAGGAGTGGACAAGGAGATGTTTTCGAGGATCGCTTTCAAACACGTTCGCGAAAAAAAATCGTCGAGAAATCAAAAATTCAGTCGAAAGTATATATATATATATATATCTATATATATATATATATATAAGTACAAAAAATGACAACAGCTTTATTACACATTGTATTCCATATAATATAATCGTTTATACGTACGTGCTTCTCGTTTAATTACGGGTGTCGACGAATGCCGGCCAGCGTCGGCGCCAGTCAACCGGTGAACAAACGATCGATTAATCGCCCGTTTAATCGATCCGAATCCAGCATCGTCGACGACGCTGGTGTGGCCGGCCGCACATTTTGCTTTCTTTCTTTATTTTTTTTTTCTCTTTTCTTTCTTATCTTCACCATTTTTTGTTTTCCTCTTTTCTCGTACAATTCTTAATTAATGCGCTTCGTTTCTTTCTTTCTTTTTTTTTTTGTTTTGCAAACTTTTTATACATACGCGTATATATATATATTATTTTTTTTTTTCATTTATTTATCCTATTCCTTGCCCACGAGCGAGATCCGAAAAAAAAAAAAAGAAAAGAAAAATAATGTAGTGTGACCTGACTTAGCATTTTATGGTAGAGTTGTTTCGTTTATTTAATTATCATTATTATTTATTAACAGGAACATCATCGAATCTTTGTTCGTTACATCGTCATCGTACGTTTCTACATTTATTATCGTGATCATCACTATCAGCATTATTATCACCACCGGCGTTAATTAATTAATCGTATCGGACAAATAGCGTCGTAGTGCGTCAATCATCATTATTATTATCATCATTTATATCAGCAGCGTTCATCGTATTCATCATCGCTTGTTCAGCAGCATCATCATCCATATAAATAAATAATTATCATCAACCGTGCGATAACAACGCATAATCGTCATTTGTTCATTGATTTCGAGATCGAAACAGGGGAGAGAGAGAGAGAGAGAGAGAGAAGAAAAAGGAAGTAGTTTCTCTTCTTTTATTCTACTA